GTGCGGCAGCTTTGGGTGGAAGCGACAGAACGGGGACATGGTGAGCAAGATGGAGGAGAGAAATGGGGCAGGGAGAGAGCTGGGCAAGGAGAGAGCTGGGCAGGGAGAGACCGTGTCTATGTGTGAAAGGAAAAGTGAGTGTGTGTGTGCGCACGCATGTGTGTGTGTGTGTGTGACTGTGTGTGCTTATGCATCCGGGCACCTGCATGCGCGCCAGCTGCGCCCTGCTCCTTGCCCACCCCTCTCGACTGCAACCATTGCCGAGGCATTCCCCCTTCACACCCCGCACCAACCGCACCCAGGGCGTGGAGTACTTCAAGACAGAGAAGGCCCGCCTCGATCGCTTGATCGGCAGCGGCAGCGTGGCGGCGGCAAAGGTGGGGGTCGGCAGGTTCGAGGGGTCGGGCCGGATGGGATGACAATGGGGTTTGACTGGGGAGAGGGCGGCTCCGAGGCATCTCCGCGCTCTCGGCAATCGAGAGCGATGTGGGTAAGCGCTTGCGCTGCCCATTTGGGCTGCACCAGCAGTGAGGTGACGTTGCGTTCGTCGCCATCTCTGAATCACTCGCCTGCATGACTGTTGGCACGAGCACGCACCCCTTTTACTCGCACTCTCCACACACACATACACACACAAACACACACTCTCTCTATAACATTCTCTGGACACACAGACACACACACACACATACACACACCTTCTCAGCATCATCACACCGTAATCGCGCCACCTCCACTATCACCACTCCCCATCATCCCTGCAGCTTGACGAGCTGTCGCGCAAGAGCAGCGTGCTGGAGGCCTTTGTGGGGTCTGACGAGGAGGCCAAGATCTCAGAGGAGTAGCAAGCGGCCGGCAGCGGCCGCTCGAATGCCCCAGGTGTTGGAATGACTCGGGAGCGCTCCTGACCAAAGGGCCACGCTCGCCTGCTGCCCGGCTGCCGTCTTCGCGCTGGCTGCCAGGCGCGGCGGGTTGCTTGCGGGGCCGTGGGAGGATGCAGCAAGACCAGCGCCCGGGCCTGCTGGCCGCTGGCTGCTGCCTCTTTTTGGTTGTTGGACCCGAGAGACGATGGCTTAGCCATGCGCAGCGAACCCCACACGACCGCGGCGCTACCAGAGTGGCTGCTCGCGCGCCAGTGTGCCTCGCAACGCGAATATATGTTTGTAAAAGGCTCTGCGATCACCGTGTAGTGGAATGCCGAGGATTGCATGCAAGACCCAACCCCGTCACAGTTTGAACGCTGTTCTGCCGCCTTCTCAGCCGCGCAGCCCAGCCCGTGCCCACTCTCCCGTCAGCCACGCCACGCAAGGAGACGCAGGGGGGTTGCACCTCAGCACTGCGCACCGCCAAGGTGGAGGCGAGGCGGGCAGCAACTGCGCGCCCGCGTCACTTACTGCGAGCGTGCGTGCGGGATTGGCGACATTGATCCGCTTCCTGGCCTGATGCCACAAATTGGGAGCCCCTCAGGAGGCCGCCTGAGGTCAACAGCCGAGCGCCCTGCCGCAGCCGAGCTCCCTGAAGCCTGGTAATCTGCACTGAAGGTTACAAAAACGCCCATTGTTCAGTCAAAGCCCCAGGGACGGTCTGCCCCGTTTGGGGTGCGCGCACTCGCAACTCACTCCTCAACCCTCGTTGCCAAGGCCGGAAACAAGCCACTTGCTGGACGGTGCCCAGTGCAGGGGCGGTCACACCACGCGCCCTCTGCACATAGTGCACAGCGGCCTGTGCGCCCACGCTGTGGCACGGGCGCGCGGGCCAGGCACAAGAAGGCGCTGTACGCAAAACGCCCTGGCTGACGCGTCAAACGCAGAAAAGGCCCGCATCCAAAGGTTTGAGAGCCTGGCGCGCCAGGAGGGGCGCTGCCAGGTCGCACTCACAAGTGCCGCACAGCCAAACCCAACAGCCAGGAAAGCGCAGCCGTCCACACGGCAGCCGTAAGATCGCTGCTATGGACACAGGAGACCGGAAATCGCAGACGTGAAAACAGGAGCCTTGTTGAAAGCAGCCATGAACACGGCCGTGAAGTTGCTGCCGTGAAAACAGAAGCAATGCTTTGTGCAGCCATGCACATGGTCACAAAGTTGCGGCCGTGATTGCAGGAGCAATGGATTGCAGCCATGGACACAGCAGCTGAAACAGGGCAGCTGTGACAACAGGAGCAGCGTTGGGTGCAGCTGTGAACGTGGCCAGGAAGTCAGCAGCCGTGCACACAGGAGCGATGAAATCATAGCCGCGGCAACAGCAGCCGGAGCCCCGCAGCCCATGAACGAATGAGCCGTGATATGTGCAGCCATGAACACAGCCATGAAGTCGCAGCCGTGGACGCAGGAGCCAGCCTGGGGCACAGGCGCTGAGAAATGACAGCCCTGAAACCGTGGCCGTGGAATGCTAGGGAAGCCTTTGGTGGTCGGCTCAAATGAGTTGGTCGCAACCCTACCCAAAATGACGGCGCTCTTGCCGCGCCCCAGCCGCAGTGCATGGCGCGGCGGGCGCAGGCATGCATACCCGGTTTGAAGGCGTTGGAACCCCGACCGCGCGGCCGAGCCTGCCTCAAGGTTGAGGCCCCTTGTATGGCAATCGACATCGGGTTTCAGATCGATTTCTGGCATCCTGCTGCGGGTTCACACGAATGAGGCTCAGAATACGGGCGCACAAGTTGTGCGGCCCCCAACTGGGGCCCACCTGCTCCCATGAATTGTCCCGCTTTGCAGGAAAATGTGCATGCCCGTGCGTGCGTTGGATGTTCATGTGACGGTGAGTGGATCATGGCAGGTACCAAGGGTGCAGTGTGTGCCGGATGCCGGCCAAGCCGGTACGCCCGACATTTCGAGTTCAATAAGTGCAGAGTCAAATGCTGGACGCCGCTCCGCCGCGGCAATCCCCCGCCCTGTTGGGCCGCTCGCCCCCACGCGGCGCAGCCTCGCCTCTGCACCCCCAAAACGCCCCCTGCGCGCGCGGCGGCCAAGCGCGCTGCCCCTCGCGCCGCATCTATCACTCGGCGACGACGGCGACGAGCTCTGTGTCGCGCTCCATCTCGTCAAGGTTCATGCCCGTCTTGATGACGGTGTTGGGGAAGAACACCACCGTTTTGTGGACCAGCCGGTAGTAGAGGTACAGCCCCAGCATGCGCACGCGCCACACGTACCACGGGAACAGCCCCCGCGCGAGCGGCGCGACCGCCACGAACACGTCCATCGCGTTGAGCAGCCGCGGGCGGCCGAGGGCGTCGGCGCCGCCCGCCGGGCGCGGCGCGTCTGCGAGCTTGGACAGGACGTCCGGGTCGTCGGCGAGGGCGCGGTACACGATGGCGAGCATGTAGGCGACAAACGGCGTCGCCGCAGTCGTGTCCAGCAGGTCCTCCCCCATCAGCCACAGCCGCCCGCGGTGCGGGCCGGTCGGCAGGAAGCCCGCAAAGTTCTGCGGCCGCTCAAAGCCGGCCGGACGCTCCGGCGGCGCGTAGCCGGTGCCCATCAGCAGGTAGTCCACGCCCTCGATGACGTCACCGTTAGTCAGGTGCAGCGCGCCGCCCTCGATCCTGGAGACCTCGGTCCCCGCGCGGCGCGAGACACGGCGCTTGTTGCTGACGAGGTACCCGCGGCCGGGCACGAGCTGCTCGTACCGCACGTCGTACCACCGCCCGGGCATCCAGCTCAGCGTGCCGCCGACGAGGTGCCGGCCGTACACGACGGCGGTCACGATGAGGTTCAGGGCCGCGTAGGCCAGCCACTGCCAGTACAGCAGCTGCACCAGGATCATCGGCCAGAGCGTGTTGAAGGAGATGCCCGAAAAGTGGCGCGCCTCCCGCAGGATCCACTCCACCTTGCCCTCCGCGCCGTGCTGCAGCGAGTGCATGCAAAGGTCGATCGCCGACGCGCCCGCGCCGACGACCGCCACCTTCTTGCCTTTGAGGATCCCGAGGTCGGCGATCTGGCTGGAGTGCAGGACCGTCACGCTGCCGTCGGTCTTGACCTCGGGGATCAGCGGGCGCGCGTGCTTGCCGGTGCCCAGGAGGAGCCGCTTGGTCAGGATCTGCAGGCGGGCGCCGTCTGCCAGGCGAGTGACCTGGGAGTGTGATCGAGGGCCGGGGGATGCCATGAAGAGATGAAGGGCTTTGAGGAGGAAATCGGCATTGTGATCAGGCATGCGAGGGCGCGCTCAACAACAACTAGGAGGTTGGTGCCAAGCAGGGCAGCCGAGGTGACTGGTGTGTCGGAGGCGGTGGCGTCGATGCCGCCGCCTCCGGGCTGGGCGAGCCTCAAACTGAACCTTGAAGTTCGCAACGAGCACCAGGCTGTCCTGACGCGCAGCTGCTTTGCACCACCCCTCTCCTCTGCGCCGCATCTCACTGCTTCTCCTCACTGCTTCGCCCTGCCGGCACACATCTTCCCTGGGCTGTCTGAAGCTCCAAGCTCCCGCGAGAGTACCCCGCCCCCGCCGTTTCTGACGCCTGCGACCCCCCCGGGGTCAGCCCACCTGGCAGACCCAGTGCTGGTCCTCCTCGCTCCAAACATAGCCCTCCAGCTTGTGGCCCATCTTGATGTAGGGCGCCAGGCCCTGCACCGAGGGAGGGGCCGCGGCGTGGGGGTCTGCATGGTGACACCCTCCTAGAACAGGGTTGCACTCAAAAGGGAGTACAGACTGGTGACGGTCAGCACTCTGGCCACCGCCCTGGCTATGTGCACCGCACATACCGGCGTTGCACGCCGTGCTGGCCTGAGAGACTGTCAAAAATCATCAGCGCACGCACCTGGACCTTGATCTTCATTTCCAGGAGGTGGCACACGTCATCCGCAGTCCAGACCTGGCGCGTGATTATGTGCGCGCGCCATCAGTACGTCTGGCTTGCTCGCCGGCGTGCAGGTGGGGGGCAAAGGGGAGAGGGCCGGGGACGAGAGTGCCCTGCGCTGCTCCGCGCACCTTCTTGCGTGTGGTGAAGCCCTCCGTGCAGAAATCTATCGGGTCGTTCTGGACTGTTTGCCAGCGCGGCAGCTGCGCCCACAGGCCCCCAACACTGCGTGCGCGAGGTGCAGGATGAGAAGGGGTAACCAGGGGCTGTTGCTGACGCTTGGCTAAGGTCTGTCCTGGAGCGAGGGCCCGCGCAGTGGGGCGAGGGCCCGCTCCCAGCGGAGCCGTCTCAAGCCCCGCGCGCCGCTGGGGAGCGTAACCCAGCGCGCGGGGCGCGCTGCCCCCCGCTGTTGCGCTGGGCGCCTAGCGGCGCGAGGCGCCCAGCGGGGTCATCCCTGCCGGCTCACCGCTCCTGTTGCTCAATAACCAGCACGCCGCTGCGCTGTTGCGGAGGGACGGCGCCGATACCGTACACGCCCGTGATGCCGGCGCCGACGAGGAGCCACTCATACACAGCAGGCGCTGCACTGTTGGCCACCCCTTGCTTCGCCGCACCATCCGCAACAATCTCGATGCCGGCGCCGTCATAGGGCTTCGGGGCGCCCATCCTCCTGCCTGGAGTGCGTGTGTGGGCCGGCACATTAGGGTGCTGCTAAGCCCACCCACCGCTTGGCAGGGGCTAACGTTGCGGGAGACACCAGAGCGTGTCAGTGCGGCCGGGCGCGAGCGCCCGCTCAGGTTCACGCGGCCAGAGCGGCCTCTGCACGGCGCGTTGACACACGAAACCCTTGATTTTACAAGATTCAGACAAAATCATGCCGCCGCAAGCCCTGGCCGCGCAATGCACTGCGGTATTACGAACTGCTCACCGTCCGACGAGAGAAAAGCCGACGACCGGGGCGCGTAGGCAAGTGCAGCTAATTTAAAAAAAGCCTCTGAGTTACAGTGCGCGGTGCAGCTGGGCCCCGTGGCCAGCGGCACGCAGAGCAGGGTATAGACGGCGCAACCGCACCAAAAAGAGAGGGCCGGCGCACAGATGACAATGCTTTCTAATAAAAACCATAACTATGTGGCCCGCAAAGCGCCGTGACGAGGTGGTATAGGGAAAGTTTTTGCAGGCGTCACTCCCGGCGGGCATTTGCGCGTGGCTCCAGCCAACTGCTGCTGTCTGAGAACCCCAAATTACGCCAGCCTGGGCACCCAGCTTGCGGCAGCGGTCGAAATCTGATTGCTGTGATAGAGACGAGTTCCGGTCAAACGGGTACGGGCAGGGATACCCGACTCGCTTTGAGCACTCAGCATACACTTGGGGCCTTTGTGCACGCCTGCTTCGAACGGCGAACCGTGGCCCCTTGAATCCGTGTCACACAATGCTGATGCTACCAAGTCATATCCCATGAGCCTGGATGGCTCCAGGAGCGGGCGACCGCGGGATCTTGTGACAATCCTAATCCCTAATCCTAATCTGCTGCTTGCCGCACTGGCCACTTCACGCCCCCAGTGAGACGGTGACGGCCAACTACGACTGCAACGTAGTTGAGGTATACTTCTATATTACTTGCTTGGCAACATCACTTTTGGTGTTGTGAAACGGCCTCATGGCCGGAGCTTTGGCGAGCATGGTTGGCAGGTGCTGGTGGATGACACAAAGCAGCTGCGGCAGGCGGCCACCTGTCCCGATCACACGAAGTATTGTTTGGCTACATTGTATTTGTGAAACAATAGCACTAGCACTTCTGCGTGCGATCCCAATATGATGGGTGCGGCCGGGTGCATCCTGGGGCAGCGATATTGTTGGACACTGCACCACCCTGCAAGCATGGCTGCGCAAAGATTGTCGACATGCACACGTTGAAAATCTGCCTGCACTCCAAGCTCACCCAAACATGAATGCGTTCACGTAGGGTCTTGTATGGGGGCAGAGGGCAGTGTCAAGTCCTGATGTCCTCAGATGCAGTGAAAATTTACATGCGATGGAGGACGAGCGGAGCTTCAAACGCTCAAGGCACGGCAACAGATACGAGTGGATTGATTTGTATCCATTGATGAATTTTGTTTCATAGGTGCACAGAGTTCGTATTGTACCCTCCCTCTTGCCCTAGTCAAAGGCAGTCTCTAATGGTGGAGTGCTCTTCTGAACAGCGGTCAAGCGCCTTCAAGTCCGTCGTGACAGAAAGTAGTTACCAAAAGGTGAACTCCTATAGATATCAAAGGCTGTTACACAGGGTTCTGTCCTCCATGTCACTGGAGCAACATGCACACCTGAGATCATGATTCCAACCTCAAGTACCACAACGGCACCACACTACCCTACATAGAGCTGAATATGATTTTCAAACTCTAAAAACTGTAAAGCGCGTCGATCTCACATAAATGGGTTGGTTGGCAACTTGCACTGCAGCACTGCAGATCCAAGCTGCGCTCATTTTATTTGTTGGAGTGATTGGTTGGACCGCATCCGGACTCGCACGCAGACGGGAGCTGCGGCGCCAGCTCTCTGGCCGATTGACTGCGGCGGCAGAAAAGCGGCGCTGCACACCCGGCACCCAGGTGTGAATCCTCACTCAGAGGGCGCTTCCAAGGGCGGTGCAGCTGCACTTTTTCTGCAAATACGCTGAAACTGCATTCCTGACCGCGGCCAGGCTCTGTGCCACTGCGCTGCCCCTCAAGCACATCAACGGCAACAGTCACCAGTGTCCGCATGCACGCCGCAGGCGCCGCCGGTGTGTGTGGT